ACCGGTGCCTTGGTCCTTCGAGTCCAGTCTCAAGAATATGTGTCAGACTGGTCTCAATCACAATTATATCTCAGTCAGGCAATCACCCTTCTTTGGTGTGATGCAACCAAGACATGTACAGTGCTCTATCTGAGAACAGTCTTTGGAAATTAAATGGAGCAATCATTCTTTTAACACTGAGTGTGTAGCAAGAGTTGCAAGGCCAACATTTGCCAGCAAACCACCCTAGACTCATTGAGAAGCCTCTCACAAGGCCCAGAGGCAATGTGAGAACAAGGACCAGAGGCACTATCTCATGCTGAAAACACATACACTGACTGCCAAGTGCATCCAGGTATGTTTGCGAACAGCTGATGGCAACAATGCCTCCACAAACTCCATTATCACTGCTGCAAATGATATTGACATGATCAATCTGCAGCCTTATGACATCTTTGTGGTTGTGTTTGTGTATGGATCATGGTTTGCACCTGGCCAAAATGCACTTTTGATGCTTCAATTGCCTCTTTACAGTTCTCTGACCTGATGACTGTCCCATCAACACTGACTTTCTCCAGAATACAGGGCCAATTGCCTTCAGATGCATCTGTTGGATGGATAAGTAACTCCTTGCATGTGTGATAATATGGTGCTCACCTGGTAACCAATCCTCCAGATGCAATGTCCTGCTACATAGTGCTTGCAGCATGTCAATGCACTGGCTCTTCATCCAATGGTCTGGCCCTTTATTCCGGATGGTGGGAGATCCCAGCAGATATGGGCAAGTAGCTGGATATCCTATGATATGTTTTCACACCTTCTGCAATGCAAATGGTAGTGCCCTGAACTGCGAATGGCTGAGATTGTTTTGCACTGCAAGTGTCTGATTAGGACCTAGTGGAAAAGCAGCAGCTGACATACCCATGAAGTCTTTTAACTCTTTGCAAACATCACTTCATAGGGCCTCAGCCTTGAGAGCATTAAGGTGCGTGATTGTGGCCTACATAGAAAGTGAGCCTGGTTTGCACAGTATATTGCAGACCATACATGAGGGCTGACATCATCCAAAGGCAAATCAGTGTCTGTACCATCTAGGGCTACACCTGCCACCTGGAGATCATGTAGTTGTTCTGTTCGCAAAACCACCATCCTGAGCCTGTGTTAGTGGTTGTGGAACTGCAGTGAGACACAAGTTGTGCACTTCATAAAAGTCTGTATATTGGCTTGCATCTGCTTGACATTCTTATGACGAGGAGCAAGACAATGCTGGAGCACTTGTTTGACAAGATCAGAGCCACCCACAAATGAGGTCTCAGTGTTGTCATTATGTCAGCTGGCTTTCACCATGTGGATGGCACAGAATATCCCCCACTGCTCAAGAGTTACACATATGTGCTGGAACTCCTCCTTTGCCTTCTCAAATGTATGGTGCTGGATGTCTAGAAAGCTGTTGATATTGAGCGCCTGTATCTGTTCCATCCATGCTATGTGCCATTGTCGCATCTCACATAGCAGCGCACTGGTCTGGTCACCTCAAGCATCATTAAGAGCCTCAGCCTTCAGCTCCTTCCAGAGCCCAGCCAAGAGAGTCATATATGCTGTTTGACTGATGTGCTCCATGTTGTTGGGTTTTGGCAGCATTTGCTCAAAGATCAACCAGGGATTGATCTCCTTCTGGGTTCCAGTGAATTGTATAGTGGGCAGGTCATTGTGAATGATGTTGAGCAGAGTTGGCAGAGGTATCCAAGAGTGTTTGCACACCAGCACAAGAGCTGCATGATATTTGTGGGGGCCTTGGATGTCTCTGTAAATCTTGGATCCAAGATCTCTGCCAGCAGCTGCTGGAGGAGTGATGGGCTGAGTCAGTGTCAGGGCACCAGCTCATTGCTTGGTCAAGAGACATGACTAAGCCTTTATGACATGGAAGTAGCTGGTATACCTTGGCATGTGCTGGAACCTGCTGAAAGGATTGGATGGTCAGGTGACCTGCTGTGCATGGCTGTGCA